GACACACACTGTACTCCCCTTCATATAGTCTAGGGCAGCTAGTTCTTGACACACACTGTACTCCCCTTCATATAGTCTAGGGCAGCTAGTTCTTGACACACACTGTACTCCCCTTCATATAGTCTAGGGCAGCTAGTTCTTGACACACACTGTACTCCCCTTCATATAGTCTAGGGCAGCTAGTTCTTGACACACACTGTACTCCCCTTCATATAGTCTAGGGCAGCTAGTTCTTGACACACACTGTACTCCCCTTCATATAGTCTAGGGCAGCTAGTTCTTGACACACACTGTACTCCCCATCATATAGTCTAGGGCAGCTAGTTCTTGACACACTCTGTACTCCCCTTCATATAGTCTAGGGCAGCTAGTTCTTGACACACACTGTACTCCCCATCATATAGTCTAGGGCAGCTAGTTCTTGACACACTCTGTACTCCCTTCATATAGTCTAGGGCAGCTAGTTCTTGACACACACTGTACTCCCCTTCATATAGTCTAGGGCAGCTAGTTCTTGACACACACTGTACTCCCCTTCATATAGTCTAGGGCAGCTAGTTCTTGACACACACTGTACTCCCCTTCATATAGTCTAGGGCAGCTAGTTCTTGACACACACTGTACTCCCCTTCATATAGTCTAGGGCAGCTAGTTCTTGACACACACTGTACTCCCCTTCATATAGTCTAGGGCAGCTAGTTCTTGACACACACTGTACTCCCCTTCATATAGTCTAGGGCAGCTAGTTCTTGACACACACTGTACTCCCCTTCATATAGTCTAGGGCAGCTAGTTCTTGACACACACTGTACTCCCCTTCATATAGTCTAGGGCAGCTAGTTCTTGACACACACTGTACTCCCCTTCATATAGTCTAGGGCAGCTAGTTCTTGACACACTCTGTACTCCCCTTCATATAGTCTAGGGCAGCTAGTTCTTGACACACACTGTACTCCCCTTCATATAGTCTAGGGCAGCTAGTTCTTGACACACTCTGTACTCCCCTTCATATAGTCTAGGCCAGCTAGTTCTTGACACACTCTGTACTCCCCATCATATAGTCTAGGGCAGCTAGTTCTTGACACACTCTGTACTCCCCTACATATAGTCTAGGGCAGCTAGTTCTTGACACACACTGTACTCCCCTACATATAGTCTAGGGCAGCTAGTTCTTGACACACACTGTACTCCCCTACATATAGTCTAGGGCAGCTAGTTCTTGACACACACTGTACTCCCCTTCATATAGTCTAGGGCAGCTAGTTCTTGACACACACTGTACTCCCCTTCATATAGTCTAGGGCAGCTAGTTCTTGACACACACTGTACTCCCCTTCATATAGTCTAGGGCAGCTAGTTCTTGACACACACTGTACTCCCCTTCATATAGTCTAGGGCAGCTAGTTCTTGACACACACTGTACTCCCCTTCATATAGTCTAGGGCAGCTAGTTCTTGACACACACTGTACTCCCCTTCATATAGTCTAGGGCAGCTAGTTCTTGACACACACTGTACTCCCCTTCATATAGTCTAGGGCAGCTAGTTCTTGACACACACTGTACTCCCCTTCATATAGTCTAGGGCAGCTAGTTCTTGACACACACTGTACTCCCCTTCATATAGTCTAGGGCAGCTAGTTCTTGACACACTCTGTACTCCCCTTCATATAGTCTAGGGCAGCTAGTTCTTGACACACACTGTACTCCCCTTCATATAGTCTAGGGCAGCTAGTTCTTGACACACACTGTACTCCCCTTCATATAGTCTAGGGCAGCTAGTTCTTGACACACACTGTACTCCCCTTCATATAGTCTAGGGCAGCTAGTTCTTGACACACACTGTACTCCCCTTCATATAGTCTAGGGCAGCTAGTTCTTGACACACACTGTACTCCCCTTCATATAGTCTAGGGCAGCTAGTTCTTGACACACACTGTACTCCCCTTCATATAGTCTAGGGCAGCTAGTTCTTGACACACACTGTACTCCCCATCATATAGTCTAGGGCAGCTAGTTCTTGACACACACTGTACTCCCCATCATATAGTCTAGGGCAGCTAGTTCTTGACACACACTGTACTCCCCTTCATATAGTCTAGGGCAGCTAGTTCTTGACACACACTGTACTCCCCTTCATATAGTCTAGGGCAGCTAGTTCTTGACACACTCTGTACTCCCCTTCATATAGTCTAGGGCAGCTAGTTCTTGACACACACTGTACTCCCCTTCATATAGTCTAGGGCAGCTAGTTCTTGACACACACTGTACTCCCCATCATATAGTCTAGGGCAGCTAGTTCTTGACACACACTGTACTCCCCATCATATAGTCTAGGGCAGCTAGTTCTTGACACACACTGTACTCCCCTTCATATAGTCTAGGGCAGCTAGTTCTTGACACACACTGTACTCCCCATCATATAGTCTAGGCAGCTAGTTCTTGACACACACTGTTCATATAGTCTGCTAGTTCTTGACACACTGTACTCCCCATCATATAGTCTAGGGCAGCTAGTTCTTGACACACACTGTACTCCCCATCATATAGTCTAGGGCAGCTAGTTCTTGACACACACTGTACTCCCCTTCATATAGTCTAGGGCAGCTAGTTCTTGACACACACTGTACTCCCCATCATATAGTCTAGGGCAGCTAGTTCTTGACACACACTGTACTCCCCTTCATATAGTCTAGGGCAGCTAGTTCTTGACACACACTGTACTCCCCTTCATATAGTCTAGGGCAGCTAGTTCTTGACACACACTGTACTCCCCATCATATAGTCTAGGGCAGCTAGTTCTTGACACACACTGTACTCCCCTTCATATAGTCTAGGGCAGCTAGTTCTTGACACACACTGTACTCCCCATCATATAGTCTAGGGCAGCTAGTTCTTGACACACACTGTACTCCCCATCATATAGTCTAGGGCAGCTAGTTCTTGACACACACTGTACTCCCCTTCATATAGTCTAGGGCAGCTAGTTCTTGACACACACTGTACTCCCCTTCATATAGTCTAGGGCAGCTAGTTCTTGACACACACTGTACTCCCCTTCATATAGTCTAGGGCAGCTAGTTCTTGACACACACTGTACTCCCCTTCATATAGTCTAGGGCAGCTAGTTCTTGACACACACTGTACTCCCCATCATATAGTCTAGGGCAGCTAGTTCTTGACACACTCTGTACTCCCCTTCATATAGTCTAGGGCAGCTAGTTCTTGACACACACTGTACTCCCCTTCATATAGTCTAGGGCAGCTAGTTCTTGACACACACTGTACTCCCCTTCATATAGTCTAGGCCAGCTAGTTCTTGACACACACTGTACTCCCCTTCATATAGTCTAGGGCAGCTACATAAATGCACATGTACCCAAATGTGTTAATAAAAAGTATTATACCAATAATTACATTAGACGAAGGCACATAAAGTAGCTGCATTGCTCCTTAACACTATCTATATACAACCTATTCTCCTGCTTATACAGTACTAGTTGTAACGTTGTGCACCTTAGTACTAAGGTGCACATCATGTGCATTGACGTACTAATGATGTGCACCTTAGTACACACATTGACGTACTAAGCAATTACATAGTTGAATATTGTACTATTCACTTCGCAGAATCTGAAAAAAATGAAGCTAAAAAACAAACCTAAATTTTCTTAGGCCGAGTATAGCACACATTTGTACTATATTAGGTCTCAAATAATATATTTGTACAATATATTAGGCCTAGGAAACAATGGGCAGAGTGTCTTTCACCCTGATGTCCCTGTTTCCTAGCAGTAAATAGGTACCTGGGTGTTAGTCAGCTGTCACGGGCTGCTTCCTGGAGGCCTGGTCGAGGACCGGGCCGCGGGGACACTTAAGCCCCGAAATCATCTCAAGATAACCTCAAGATAGGAAGGTTAGGTTAGGTTGTCTTTGCGACCTTCTGTTGTAAACCGTTTTCCAGTCTGTCCAAATTCAATAGTACCGATTTGTACTATTGTACTATGTACTATTTGTACTATTCAAATTGTGTTGTAAGTCGGCATATGCACTATGGTCCTCGTCCTCCCTATAAGTACGACCAAAACAGGAGAATGGGCTGGGATATTTGGTTGGATAGAAAGATAGATGGAGAGACGGGTAGGTGGGTGGATAGATGAATAGATAGATGATAAATTGATTCATATTTGATGCATAGACAGATGGATATTTGATGGATCGGCAGATGGAGGGATCGATAGATGGATATATGACTATAGATGGAGGGATAAATATATATATGGATAGATAGATGGACAGGTGGAAGACACACAGACCGACCCGGGCAACGCCGGGTACCCCCCCTCCCCCCCCTCCCCCCCCTCCCCCCCCTCCCCCCCCTCCCCCCCCCCTTAGGGGGCAACCCCCCCCTCCCCCCCCCCTCTCCTCCGATTGATAATAAATTGAACTGATGATGTTTCGGTCCGTCCTGGACCCTTAGGGGGCAACGTTTCGGTCCATCCTGGACCTTAGGTGCCAAGGTTTCGGTCCGTCCTGGTCCCTTAGGGGGCAACGTTTCGGTCCGTCCTGGTCCCTTAGGTGCCAAGGTTTCGGTCCGTCCTGGTCCCTTAGGTGCCAAGGTTTCGGTCCGTCCTGGACCCTTAGGTGCCAAGGTTTCGGTCCATACTGGACCCTTAGGTGCCAAGGTTTCGGTCCATACTGGACCCTTAGGTGCCAAGGTTTCGGTCCATACTGGACCCTTATCGGGCTGTTGTACTCACTACACTGAGGGAGACACAGAGGGAGACAGGCAAGTCTCCTGTTCCATTAATTTGTCATTAACATTCCATGGACCACATCGTCAAAATCCCGAGGCTTTAACTAACGTAAATGTACAGTAATATCGACGCTCTCTGGGACCGTGGGGCCTAAATGCTCACCCATCTCGCTGACTAAAAGCACTTCAAATTTTACGTATGGTTATGAACCACATCATTGAGTCTGTCTCTTGACTTCCTCCACGTCATGGAGGCTTCCATTTGCTTCCACCACCTCGTGGAGGCTTCCTCTTGCTTCCACCACCTCGTGGAGGCTTCCTCTTGCTTCCACCACCTCGTGGAGGCTTCCTCTTGCTTCCACCACCTCGTGGAGGCTTCCTCTTGCTTCCACCACCTCGTGGAGGCTTCCTCTTGCTTCCACCACCTCGTGGAGGCTTCCTCTTGCTTCCACCACCTCGTGGAGGCTTCCTTTTGCTTCCACCACCTCGTGGAGGCTTTCTCTTGCTTCCACCACCTCGTGGAGGCTTCCTCTTGCTTCCACCACCTCGTGGAGGCTTTCTCTTGCTTCCACCACCTCGTGGAGGCTTCCTCTTGCTTCCACCACCTCGTGGAGGCTTCCTCTTGCTTCCACCACCTCGTGGAGGCTTCCTCTGCTTCCACCACCTCGTGGAGGCTTCCTCTTGCTTCCGCCACATCATGGAGGCTTCCTCTTGCTTCCACCACATCATGGAGGCTTCCTCTTACTTCCACCACATCATGGAGGCTTCCTCTTGCTTCCACCACCTCGCGTAGGCTTCCTCTTGCTTCCGCCACATCATGGAGGCTTCCTCTTGCTTCCGCCACATCATGGAGGCTTCCTCTTGCTTCCACCACATCATGGAGGCTTCCTCTTGCTTCCACCACATCATGGAGGCTTCCTCTTGCTTCCACCACATCATGGAGGCTTCCTCTTGCTTCCGCCACATCATGGAGGCTTCCTCTTGCTTCCACCACATCATGGAGGCTTCCTCTTGCTTCCACCACATCATGGAGGCTTCCTCTTGCTTCCACCACATCATGGAGGCTTCCTCTTGCTTCCACTACATCATGCAATGACAACTTTAAGACCAAATAAACAACATACATTAGGAGGCTTCCTTCTGAATTCACGTTTACAAGTCCTAAATTGGTATATTAATGTCCCATCACTGTAAGCCTTGCCACTGCCAGCTAAGCTTTTACACTACCAGACACATACCAAGATCTGCTTCACACTCCCAAGACGCCGCCAAGACGTGGGGTAGCTGAGGACTCCTCTTCAGCACTCACAAGAAATCAACAATATTTCTTGGGAATATTGTTGATTTCTTGGTGACTTGGGAAACGTCTGGGTGCTCTGCTGAATTTCCAAATCGAAGAAAAGTTCCGGGAATTTGTACACACGTTGTCCTGAAGGGTGAGATGATCCCAGGATCACTTGGTGAAGGGTGAGATGATCCCAGGATCACTTGGTGAAGGGTGAGATGATCCCAGGATCACTTGGTGAAGGGTGAGATGATCCCAGGATCACTTGGTGAAGGGTGAGATGATCCCAGGATCACTTGGTGAAGGGTGAGATGATCCCAGGATCACTTGGTGAAGGGTGAGATGATCCCAGGATCACTTGGTGAAGGGTGAGATGATCCCAGGATCACTTGGTGAAGGGTGAGATGATCCCAGGATCACTTGGTGAAGGGTGAGATGATCCCAGGATCACTTGGTGAAGGTGAGATGATCCCAGGATCACTTGGTGAAGGGTGAGATGATCCCAGGATCACTTGGTGAAGGGTGAGATGATCCCAGGATCACTTGGTGAAGGGTGAGATGATCCCAGGATCACTTGGTGAAGGTGAGATGATCCCAGGATCACTTGGTGAAGGGTGAGATGATCCCAGGATCACTTGGTGAAGGATGAGATGATCCCAGGATCACTTGGTGAAGGGTGAGATGATCCCAGGATCACTTGGTGAAGGATGAGATGATCCCAGGATCACTTGGTGAAGGGTGAGATGATCCCAGGATCACTTGGTGAAGGGTGAGATGATCCCAGGATCACTTGGTGAAGGGTGAGATGATCCCAGGATCACTTGGTGAAGGGTGAGATGATCCCAGGATCACTTGGTGAAGGGTGAGATGATCCCAGGATCACTTGGTGAAGGATGAGATGATCCCAGGATCACTTCGTGAAGGGTGAGATGATCCCAGGATCACTGCTGAAGGGTGAGATGATCCCAGGATCACTTGCTGAAGGGTGAGATGATCCCAGGATCACTTGGTGAAGGGTGAGATGATCCAGGATCACTTGGTGAAGGATGAGATGATCCCAGGATCACTTGGTGAAGGGTGAGATGATCCCAGGATCACTTGGTGAAGGGTGAGATGATCCCAGGATCACTTGGTGAAGGGTGAGATGATCCCAGGATCACTTGGTGAAGGGTGAGATGATCCCAGGATCACTTGGTGAAGGGTGAGATGATCCCAGGATCACTTGGTGAAGGATGAGATGATCCCAGGATCACTTCGTGAAGGGTGAGATGATCCCAGGATCACTTGGTGAAGGGTGAGATGATCCCAGGATCACTTGGTGAAGGGTGAGATGATCCCAGGATCACTTGGTGAAGGGTGAGATGATCCCAGGATCACTTGGTGAAGGGTGAGATGATCACAGGATCACTTGGTGAAGGGTGAGATGATCCCAGGATCACTTGGTGAAGGATGAGATGATCCCAGGATCACTTGGTGAAGGGTGAGATGATCCCAGGATCACTTGGTGAAGGATGAGATGATCCCAGGATCACTTGGTGAAGGGTGAGATGATCCCAGGATCACTTGGTGAAGGGTGAGATGATCCCAGGATCACTTGGTGAAGGATGAGATGATCCCAGGATCACTTGGTGAAGGGTGAGATGATCCCAGGATCACTTGGTGAAGGGTGAGATGATCCAGGATCACTTGGTGAAGGGTGAGATGATCCCAGGATCACTTGGTGAAGGGTGAGAGATGATCCCAGGATCACTTGGTGAAGGGTGAGATGATCCCAGGATCACTTGGTGGTAGTTAGCAGGAATGTATTCATAGTTGCAGCTGTGGATTCAGCATCATACTCACTCATCATTGAGCGTGAATGCATGCTCAAGCAGTACTCAAGGTGCAACACTGGGCGCTGGAGATTGAATGTATACACGATTGAAATTGTGCAATCTCGCAGGCCCAGAGGAGAGCAAACACGATACAGGAGCTGCAACGGAAGATCATTGGAGCTGTTGCAACAGTTGAACGAGGCTGGCTTCAAGGAACCAGGAGAGAAGGAGAGTATAGATGTGATGGCATTCAGACGACCTTGCAAAAGGGGGAAGTAATGTCGAAATGCAATTTAAATGCTCGCAAGTGCAAATAAACTTCGAGATCAGCTCTATTCAGTAAAGTAAACTTCATTAAAGGTCGCTTTTTCATTCATTATTCATCGAGTTTATCGGAAAAGAGGAAATTGATATGTTAAGACTTCATGCAGGAATTAACGAAGACGCGAAGATAGACCCGAGAACCTTTTAGAAAAACGCCAATCAGTTAATTCAAGGAGATGAGCACTGAAGGAAATGGGGAAGACGTGTAGCCGAGACACAGACCACTTGAGTAGCACACACTGGACCAGCAACTGCGGCTGAGAACACCTGGCTTGACTGAGGTCACAGCCATGGCTGAGAACACCTGGCTTGACTGAGGTCACAACCATGGCTGAGAAACACCTGGCTTGACTGAGGTCACGACCATGGCTGAGAAACACCTGGCTTGACTGAGGTCACGACCATGGCTGAGAACACCTGGCTTGACTGAGGTCACAGCCATGGCTGAGAACACCTGGCTTGACTGAGGTCACACCAGAACGTTCAAGATAGGAAGAAGACTGAAAAAAAACTCGATAAATCCTAAAATATAGATGAATGAAATCTTATTCCTACGCTTCTGTGGTCTGAAGTTTAGTGTAATTGGTGTAATTGGGTGGGAATACTAATAGCCACTTCCGGCCCCACGGAAGGTCTAACAGAGAGGATAGTAGAAAGACAGACAGACAATTAACACTAATGTAACTCGTACCAGTTTTGCTGCTGATGCTGTTCCTACTGTGGAGCCACGGGTCATACTAAGGCCGCCAACCAGGCCCTGGTCAAGCTCCAACATCCGTCAACACAATCGGACAAGCCACCAGGGCTGTGGGGTGGGCTCGAACCTGCGATCCAGGCATTGAAACACACAGTTAACTTGTATTAATGAACACCATGTTTAGTGTGATCGTTGATACACGGATCATGGCACTCCTTCCACAGCCCATCTTTACATGGTTCCTTGCTGCGTCACAGTAGTGGTGTTCCAGGGGTCTGTAGTGGGGCGCTTGTTGTTCATAATAGTCATCTTGGTCGGTGTTCAAGATGAACAACGACTGGTGGATTGGCTGTGTCTTAGCCCCCCCCCCCACTTGAGAAGAGCTGGATGAAAGTCTTAAAACAGTGATTGTTGTGTGTGTGTGGTGTCTGTGTGTGTGTGTGTGTGTGTGTGTGTGTGTGTGTGTGTGCGTGTGTCTGTGTGTGTGTGTGTGTGTGTGTGTGTGTGTGTGTGTGTGTGTGTGTGTGGTGTGTGTGTGTGTGTGTGTGTGTGTGTCTGTGTGTGTGTGTGTGTCTGTGTGTCTGTGTGTGTGTGTGTGTGTGTGTGTGTGTGTCTGTGTGTGTGTGTGTGTGTGTCTGTGTGTGTGTGTGTGTGGTGTGTGTGTGTGTGTGTGTGTGTGTGTGTGTGTGTGTGTGTGTGTGTGGTCTTCTGTAAACTGAAGAAAGAAAATGGTTGGTAGGAGAGGAAAACAAAGTGTTCAGTGAGAATCCACAAGGTCTTCCCTGAATACTCTTTATTTTCTTCTTCGAGGCTGTGGGTCCCTACAGTTGCACCAGAGGTGATTATATATATATATATATATATATATATATATATATATATATATATAGATATATATATATATATATATATATATATATATATATATATATATATATATATATATATATATATATATATATATATATATATATATATATATATATATATAATGTCTCATTGAATATGACCGCATATTCTGTATTTACTATCTTCTGATTTAGGGCTTCTATCCCTCTAACTATTTTCTTAGCATCAGGGCTTAGCTTAGCTCCTCTTTCAGCTAAGCCCTGATGCTTAGAAAATAGAGGGGTAGAAGCCCTAAATCAGAAGATAGTAAATACAGAATATGCGGTCATATTCAATGAGACACATTATATATATATATATATATAATATATATATATATATATAATGGTGTGGCCAGAGTGTGAGTGGAGGACGTGTGGCACCTCTTGTGAGTCAAAATTCATGAGATGTAACTTAATTCCTCTTCCTATCTCCTGTATCCTTCCTGCCCCCCCCCCCCTTCCTAATCCTCTCCGCTTTCCCTCCTCTGCCTTCCTATCTCTCTCTCTCTCTCTCTCCTTCCTCTCTCTCTCTCTCTCTCCTTCCTCTCTCTCTCTCCTTCCTCTCTCTCTCTCTCCTTCCTCTCTCTCTCTCTCCTTCCTCTCTCTCTCTCCTTCCTCTCTCTCTCTCTCTCCTTCCTCTCTCTCTCTCTCTCTCTCTCTCTCTCTCTCTCTCTCTCTCTCTCTCTCTCTCTCTCTCTCTATCTCCTCAATCACCT